ATGCTAGATTTTACTTTTAATGGTACTGGTGATTGAACCCAGGACCTTGCACATATGAGGCAAGTGCTTTCCTACTGAGCCATACCTCCAGCCCTTATATATTGAAATTTTGTATATTGAAAACAACATAGGATACATTTTTAGGAAACATGAATAACATTTTTTTCACTGCAAATATTAAATGCTTAATGTAGCAAGTAGCCTTTAAAGGACCTTTTAATTCTGTAACTCATCTTGTTTGGGGATAATACATACATAAATGGTTTCCATTTATTAGAAGAAACATGTTTATGAAAAAATATGCTTTAGAGTTAGCTCCTGTTCTTCAATAATAACAAGAAACTTAAAATGTTTTATAGGGTGTTGCTTACATTCATTCAACACTATTCCAAATCTTGAATCCTATGTCCTTAATAGTAGTATAATGGGGAGGAAATTCCTATGAATTCCACATAAGGTGAAGATATTGTGTACAATATAATAAAGAAGCATTGAATGTTAGTTGCTATACAGGTCTTAAAAAGTTATTTGGGAATGTATGGTCTGTTTTATGTGTATTTTCTGTTGAATGGACAAAAGCCTGTGGTTAACTGTGGTTAAAATTGTAAGGAAACTCCCTTTGAATAAGGTATAGAGTTTCACCATTATTTTTTTTTGAATTGTAACACATTAATCAAAATATATATCCAGCGAATTCCATAATCTTTTTGAAATGACAAGAGGTTGTACTAAGGTATATTATTTCATTATGTGAGAGTTCCTTTTAAAGATTTGTTTAAAATATTAAAACATTTCAGATTTGATGAAGATTTTCCACATACTTTAGACAGAATTCTTAAGAAAATAATCAAGTATTGAAATTTATCATTATCTTTATTATAGTAGCTTAGTGGTAGTTTTTTTTTTTTTTTTTGAGTAGAAGTTAGAGTTCATTGATATAAGAGGGAAAAAGTAATGCATTAAGGTAACCTGTTAGGAAGTCTCTGCCTAAGTTCGCATTGAAATTGCTAGTACCCGTTTAATAAGCCTGGCTTGGAAAATGACTAGAGAAAAATAGTTATGGATTGTATAATTATAATCTTAGTTTTGGCAGGAAGGATTTTTTTCTTTTCATATTGAATTGATGTTATTTGTCTGCTTGGCCACATGTATAATATTTTTAAAGAGACACTGCAGAGGTAGATAGTTATAGTGAATTCTTTATATAAATATGTCTCTAAAGACTTTAAGTAATAAAATTTTCAATCTTAATGCTTCTGATGAGCTTTTGCATGACTTCACTATTGACATAGAATTGTCAACAAATGTCTAACAAGTGTTAGAATAGCATGAAAGGTTGGTATTTGTGTGCTTTGGAGAGCATTTTGATGTTACCCTGTTTTGCCATGGGTGTTCAAGTATGCACGGGTGCATCATTAATCATAGGAAATGCAAAAATAAATAATTCAGTCCCATTGGATTTTTTTATATGAATACTTACCTTTTCCCTTTTTTATATATACAGTTGAGGTATTTAGGTAACCCCTAACCTTTTGCTTTAACAAAGAAGTACAGTATAAAAATATTACCACAGTTTTCATTTGAGCAGCTCTTGAGAGAGTGAAAAAAAGCTTTCTAGATGAATATTTGTTAAAAAAAAGTTGTGATACAGAATGTCTTAACTCAGCCCCAGTATAGTACTTGAGGACCACCAGTGTGTAAAATTGAAAGCACATGAGTTTTGAAGCACTAGAAAAGGTTTGTAATTGATTAGCGCTGCTTGAAAGTATTGAAGTACAGTGAGATTTGATTTGTGAATGGTTCTATTCAATAAAGATTAATTCTGTGTGTTTGATAAAATCTTAGTGCCTTCAATGAGTTAGCTACCCCCGCCCCCACAGTTTATTTAACCATCAAATATTTCAGTGTTCTTCTAACAAACTGGAACATTTATATCTTACTGGATTTAACTTTAGCATAACTGATTTAAACAAGTCAGACTATTAGTGATTAGTTTGAAGAGTGTAATTGAATAGATTAATTTTTGTTCCATTAAAAGAACTAAAATATATCATAATGTAATCATGCATATTTCATGCTTTTTTGTAATTTATAGAGACTATCTGGAGATTCATACACACTAACAAGATCTTTTTCTTTGATGTCTTTTGAATTTTTTATATATTTTAACATTTAAAAATGAAACCTTCAATAATTTTTCTTGTAAAATTAGAATTTTATAATTTAAAATAATTTATAATATAAGTCTTTGGAAATTGCTTGGTATTTTTCACTTTTTAATAGTTGTCTTCTTTGTTCTTGACTTTTTAATTCATCTCCCTGGAAAGCAGAATTTAGCTCTCTTGTTTAAGGAGCAAATTATAAAACTTTGTCACTAGTAAATCTTTAAATTATAAAAGTATTATTGATATGGAGCATAATTATTGTTTTGGAAATCACTCTTCACACGTGATGTTTAATCAGTTACTTTGGTCAGTTAAAAAGATTTTTAGTAGAAATTTAATCAGTCAGCAAATATATTTTCGTAAATAAGTTCTTAATTGTAAGATACTTGATTAATCAGTCTGTTTATAACAGGTTTTAATTATGATAAATAATGGGCAGATTTTGAGTAGCACATATTAAAAAATCTTGATTAATTTAAAGTGAAATATACCAAGAGATCAAGGACACTGAGACTCACACTCTCTTTCTTTTTTACACACACAAACACACATTTTTAGCTCATTATATTTGAGATTCAGTAATTGGTCAATGTATGCTTTGTTCTTCATCTAGAATTTCTCTTTTGCAAAATTGGGTCACATACTTATTATATTTATACTTTATTAGGTGGTTATGATAATCATTGCAAAAACGTAAAGTCTAAAGTGAGGTTTTAAGCTTGACAGAGATTAATTATGGAATGGTAAGATGTGTGCAATGAGTGTACACTACTATAAAGAATGTCCACTACTCACCTGTAATTAGTCTGGTGTAGTGGATTCATAATTAGTTTTCTATCCAGACTCAAAAGTACTATTGGATTGGTGGTGGGGGGAGGGTGAAACTTTTCAGAAAGGGAAGGATTAGTTATAATGGTAAAAAAGTTTGACATGCAACAGAAGATGAGCTTTATTTAGTTTACTTTTATGTCTTATTTAGGAACTGGCTTAGATTTTGGAAATTTTATTATTGATTGGCTATTGAGAATGTGACAACAATATAAGATGCCTGTTAAGTTAGAATTAGGAGCATTTCAACATATTCTTGGGGACAATTTTAACATATTCTTTGTGGCAGCTTTACTTGTAATGCTGAGGTGTTTCTTGAAACTTGTGATGTTCCTGATCTGGTTAGAAAAAAAATCTATTTTTAAAATAAAAAACTAAGTAATATTGTGAAAGATAAATTAAACTGTTTGAAGTGCCTGTTAAAACTAATTCTTCTGTACAACAATATTTTAAACCATTTCTTTCCTAGGGTAGTAAGCGAAAGTTCTCATGTATGGGGCTATAATTATAACATGAGCTATAAAGCAGTCTAGTTGTAGTTATTTTCTGCTTCCTAAATTCAGAAAGTTTTAAAGTAATGCTTAACACCTACCATTAAAATTTTAATAATCTTTGATTATTATATTATATGTATTGTAACTTTGAGAAGACTCACTTATAGCTATTGAGGGAGTTATTACAGCAATTTTACTTTTTTTTTTTTTTTTGTAAAATACAAAGTACACTTCCTTAACCTTTAAGAGAAATTTTCCCTACTTCAGGTTTTATTATTTCTCTTTGACCTAAACTAAGACTGATCCTCTAGTAGTAGCCAGTTAAAATGTGTGAAGTAGGAGGAGTAAGGGAAACTCCAATCGTTAGTTGAAAATTGCAAAGTTAAGTTAATGGAGGTATATGTAGCAAAAGGATTTATTTTAAAGGATAAAAGAAAAATTTAAAAAACTGCCTTGTAGCTGGAACATGTTGGACACCATAAGGAGAATCTTGTAAGTGCTTAGATATTTTATAGTAATACCATGTCAGCTGATGAATGTTGAATGTTTACATATCTGTATCAATACTAAATATTAAAGGACTATATTATGCCTGTTTTGTTTAAAAGTCGAGCATGATTTAATAGGTATGGCTCTTTTAAATCATACAGGGAGGGTATCCTTAAGGAGTTTTGTTTTTCATGAGACTAAAAACGGTATTCATTTTGGTAGGTCCAAAAATGTGATTAAAAGACGCTTAGACATTTTGATGTCTGTTATGTTTATAAGAAGTGCTATATATGGGCAACAGTATATAGATGTAAACTTAAAATACATAGAAAAGTACAATTGTATGTACGTTTTAAAAGACTTCCATGAACTTTTAAATATCCTGGGCAACTCCAAAGGTCTTTTAAAAACAGCTATAATATACTTAGAATGATTTTTATTTCAGTTGAATGTATATTTCAGTTATATAAAGTTGTTTAGAAATAAATTAATGTAGTTGTCTTGTACAGTTTAAAATTATAAATACATTCCTTTTAGTTGAGCTGGTTAAATTGTTAACTTTACTGCAGGTTTATTTCTATATTGTACATGGTAGACTGTAACATTGCATTAATTCTGTGATGTGCTATTTTGTAAAATTGCTTCCTTTTTGAAGTCTTCTCAAATTTTGGGAGCTGCTTTGTCGATAAGTCATAGCAGTGATTAATTTAGCATCAGATTTTTTTTTCTAATGAGGGCTGATAAGTATATTACATTTCACTGTTTTAACGTCTCATTTCTGTAATTCTGGGAAGTCATTTTGATTAATGAATATAATTTAATTTTGTCTATTTCAAGTATTACTCTGAGAGTTAAAGTTACAGAAGCCAATATAGCATTTCATTTTTCAATTTGTAATGAACAAAACCGCATTATTATTATTATGATCTTTAATATGCTATTATCTCAAAAAGCTAGCAGTTTTAGAATCAAACCTTTATATTTAACAGATTAATACAGGATTTTAAAATATGGGAATACTTACCCCAAAAGAAGTTTTGCTGACATGGTGTCACTGTGCTGAAGAGGCTGTTTGATGCCATAGTCCCTCCTTTTTTTTCCAGATAGAACTTGTACCCTCTGTTGTAAATACTGCTTGCAGCCTTAAACTGAAAATACAAACCATACCCAAATCTTGTTTTAGTTTTACAGTATGCCTGGAGTACATAGACTTTATATTTATTTTTTTCTGTCAAGARATTATGTAGCTGGTAACATGTGAAAAGCAAGGAAACAAAACAAAAAGAGAATGAACAAATATTTGAAGGACCTACTATTATTGCATAGACTGTGGTTAGAGAGCACTCACTGACTCTGTTGGTCTCGGTGGCTGGTAGTGACCTGCGGAGATTAACCATTTAAAAACCAGAGACTTCTTGCTGTCCTCCTGGAGAAAGTTTGCACCGCACTTGTGGTTCTGTGGTTGTTTGTGAGGCGAATGAAGCATTCACACAATCCAAAAAAGCAAAAGCTTTAAAACTCCTTTTTTTGCAAGCACTATTACTGGAGAGACAGAATCATGTGGTTTGTGACCTCACAGTACTCAAAGTAAAGTGGGACTGCCTACTACTGTGGCTTTCCCCCCCTTGCTCTTTCCTTTCTCTCTCTCTCTCTCTCTCTCTCTCTCTCTCTCTCTCTCCCTCTCTCCCTCTCTCTCTCTCCCCCCCCAAAGGCTTGTGGTAAGGCCTTTCCTGGCATCCAGAGGGATATAGCTTTTTAATTTTTGTGAGTCATGAGGATTTGGATAGAATACAAATACTGAAGGAGACCAAACTCCTGTAAGGTTAAGCATTTGTAGAACAGAATGCTGCAGTTAAGGGCTTTCCTTTCCTACCACCTCTCTCTCTCTCTCTCTCTCTCTCTCTCTCTCTCTCTCTCTCTCTCTCTCTCTCCCTCCCTCCCTCCTTTCCCCCTCCCCCTCCCTTCCTTTCCCTCTTTCCCTCTCTCTACCCCTGTCTCTCTCCCTCTCTCCCTCCTCCTTTCTCTTTTTAGCATTATTATGTTTGTGGAAAAGTTAGCAAAATTGGCTCAAGAGGCCGTGTGAAATTCTGAACAACAGTGATGATTTACAATAATTTACATCTTTGGATTGTATCACATTCTGGGGTCTGCTTCATATTTGCTAGGGTGGCTGAATTCCTTCTGTTTTCCTTTTTCTTGTCTTCTTAAACTTGTGAATCTGTAACTCATTGTAAAAAAAAAAAGTTTACCTTTCTTAAGGTCTGGTTGCAAACTGCTTGCTGGGCTTGACTATAATTGGCTGTCATGAAAGTGTTAGTCTGGGGATTCTTTAACAAATATTAAATCATGTCTGTCTACCTTATTTTCAGTGTGATTGTGGACCTTAAAATAAAGGTTAGTTGTAATTAATATCACTTAATATTATGTCTACCTTTATCTCACGACTACTTTGAAGATCTTAAAAAGCAAATGGCAGAACTATAACATGTAATCTATATATATAACATGTTATAGTTTGTTGGAAGAATATTAGTTTTCTATTTTTCCTAATTTTGTCATTCAGGAAATGTACTCATTTTGTGTAATCTTTAGTTTGTACCATAACAGTTTTTGAGTGAGAATCTCATATAAAGTAAAATACTATAACTTGGATTGCTCAGTATTATGTTTTATGAGCTCAGAAGGGAGTGGGTTAACAGAAGCTGTATTTTTTTGTTTATAATGGAAGCTTTGAAATAAATTACAAAATGCTGTGTGTAGTAAGGAATAATGCACACAGACAGAATATGTTAGTCGTCTCGATTTGCTAATTCTGATTCAGAAGAAAATTGAAAACATCTTTGTGAAACTGTCTTTTTTTTTTTTTGCCCCTTTGGATATGTATGTATAGAACTCATTTTCTTATTAGGATGATTATATATCATAGGCAGTGAATTTTATATTTATGAATACTGTTTCCTGTTTTCATCAGTTGAGAGCAATGAGGTATTTTTCAACGAAAATTATAAAGGTGAATAGACCAATTTTCTAGGCATTTTTGCCATTTATCTACACCACTCTGAATTTGCATGTTAGACGTCTTATTATTGTGATAGTAACTAAGTTGGTGAGAAATGACTGGGAGTATGGGCGGAGACAGTGAATTACAAAATATTATTTGGAGTGTACAATAGAGTGAGGACAAAGAAGGGTGTTAGAACTGTGTATTCTTCCTAGCACAGCTCATTATCAATTTTTAGTTCATATTAGATAAAGATAACTAGACAAAAATATTCAGAAGATTCTTCAGAAACATTTTCAATTTATTCAAAATACAGTGGGAGGACATGGGAATGATTTAGTCCTTTATTATTTAGATATCCTGAACTTTTTCAGAATGAACTTCTGATGTAGAAATCCATAAATACATGTTGGTGATTTATTTTAAATTTAGATGTCATCATTTCTTGTTGTGCATGTGAACACATTTTACATTAAAAAGTAAAAGTTTTCATTTAACAAGCAGTTATTCTTGCAGTGGAGAGAAGAGTTAGTTATCCTCTTTCATAAATAAGGTGTGATCTCTGTTATCCAAAGTAAATAAAAGGATTTTGTCCATATAATTTGTGGAATTTCCAAACATAGTTCCATATGCACATTTAGTAGCAGAGACAGACAATTGAAAAAATTTGGGTAGCTGTTATATTATAGTAAGCAAATAAATACTTTTCTCCTTTTTTTTTTTTTTTTTGTATTGGCGATTGAACCCAGGGACTTGAATATGCTTGCATTCAATCCCTAAGCTGCGTCCCTAGTCCCATACTTTTCTTTTAGAAATGAGTTTTCAGTTTCTGCATCAAGATTCTCTTACACTTCTCACAGTCCTAACTTTTATTGCCAAATATTCCCTTCCTTAAGTTTTTTTTTTTTATTGTGTACTTGGTTCTCCAAATGGATGTGAAATGAATTTAAATAATTTTTAACGTCTCTTTTGTCTTTTAATAGATTGTTCTCTTTTTGTAGGTAACCCTCCTGCATTTAATCTTTGGGTGAGGATTTACACTCATTTATAAGAGTTAAGTAGATATTGTTGAATATGTCCTTTCTGTCCTTTTTTAAGGCCCATCAAATTCTGGCAGGAGAAAGATAGTGAAATCATGTGTTTTATTAAAGTTTTATATTTATTATCCATATGTATTTTCACATCCTAAATCATTCCTCTTTGGAACAAATATCTCTTTTAGTAAAAATTAAAAAAAATACAGTGATAACTCCAGGGTACATATTTGATAATCTATAGTGTTTCATTAGAAATGGCTTACTACATATGATGAAAAGAGCTCGATTCAGTGCAGTCATTGTAGATAAAACCCTTGATTATAGATTTATACTATCCTTATAATCAGATATTGATTGTAAGTTTCATTATATAAATTACGGTTTTTAATGCTCTTAAAATAGTTTTGAACTTGAAATTAGTGTCCAAAAAACTGAAACAGTTAGTGTCTTGCTTTCCATCACTTTATATTAATAAAATTTGTCAAAATTGGTAGAGCTTTTAAAAATACCAAGACATATAGAATAAAACAGTATAATAATGTTTTAATGCTACATGTGTTTTCATTGTTGTGTTTTGAATTCATTTTTATTGTCTCAAGTAATGATTGTATTTTAATATAATGGTTTTATTTTCTTAATACTGTGTCCATTTCAGGGTTTTTTTTTAAGAGATTGTTACTTATATTTGCTGTTTTTAAAAATTTCTTTTAATTGAAAACAATAGCAAATAGTTCGTAGCAATTTTATAAATTGTAGAAATTCTAACTTTGCTTAAATATTATGGTTATGAGGCTTTAGCAAGGGATTTTCTTATTAACTTGATATTCGATATGTTTTGACAAATTTTTTTAGATTATATATAGCTGTTTAAGCTTATACAATATGTATTGATGACTTGAAACTTTGTTGTATTAGTAAAATATGTACAGTTTTATTTTTAAAATTTTGATTGAGACATTCCATTTCCTTATTTTAGTGGAGTATATGTGTGTATATACAACTAGATGCTTATTTGTCTGAGTTGTTTAAGTATATAAGGTACTATTTTGTACTTTTTTGTTAATGAGAATAACTTTATTTTGTTCAGTTTGTTTTAATTTGATCATGGTAAAACCCAAATGTCATCATTTCCTTGATTGTTTGAATAAATTCATTTGGTTAGTTTGAGCAGCTATGTTTCTAAATGTGATATTATGTAGAAATTGGATGTCAGGAGAGAAAATACTAAATCAGTGTCAGTCTCTCCCTTTTTCTGTTTGTCTTGTCTCCTGCCTCCTTCTTTGTCTCTTCCAGGTTTTCTTTTGTTTTGCTTTTTTTTCTTTGTTTCTCTTTCCATTTTTTGACATCTTCTACAGTGTCAAAGTAGATACTGAAAGTTCTAAGGGATATTGACATTAATTCACACTAATGAATTATCTAGTAGATTTGAAGCTTTTGACTTTCATTGCAAATTGTTATATGCAATATATGCAAATTGATATAGTATACCTCATTTGTTAAAGAATATTGGCATCTGGTTACAGAGATTTTCTTTCTTTTAACTGCTTTGACTTTCTTGAATCCTTCCTTTATGCTAATTACATTAACACACTGTTTCACATGATATTAACCCACAAGGATTACTTTGTTTTTTTCTTTTATCATTCTTTGAAATGCAGCATGATCCATACTTGATTAATGTAGCTGTAAGAGTATTGTATATTTCTTATGTTTATCAGAACAATTCATCTTCTAATGCTGTCACTTTTGTAAGATGAAAAAAAAAGGTGACAACTTGCAGAAAATATAGGAAACATGCTCATATGACAGCTAAGGATGTGGCTAGACTAAAGCAGGAAACTACTACCCACAATGCAATGTTACATACACTACCACTTAATAAAATTTATATCAAACATGCTACTGACAAAACCAAAGAAAAATAATATCCAAACGCTGCTGGTAAACGTATTCAGGGAAAAGTGAAACTAATCTTTTTAGAATTTTTGTACCTAAGAGAATACAGTAATTGAAACTCTGGGACATCACAGTATATTACAGTAGTGCTGTAATTTGCCTTTGTGTTATAGGACTTGATTGTGGGTGAAAGTGCTCTACATGAGAACCTTTTGAGTATTAGCTTTCTTGGAAAAGTCACAAAGGGACATTTCTCTTTTTCATTTGAATTGTTTCTGTATGTAATAGTGTTCGAAGATATTGTCATCTAGAAGGGAAAAAAGTTAAAATTTGAGATACTGATCCTTGATTATTGAAACTTTCTATATAGCCAGGTATTTTCATTATTGTTTAAGTTGTCCTTTATTGCCAGAGTGGGGTGAGGGGTGGCATTTGAATTATCCACTGAGACATTTCAGAGTAATTGTGTTTATTTCTCTTTATGTTAATCTACATGTACCTTACCCAGTAACCTAAAGCAAAAATGTGAACTGCTTTTATAATGTGGTCAAA